GTTTGCTAATTTCCTTTTTTAATTACCTCATGACCTTCAACCAGTTCAATAGCGAGAAGAAAAATTGAACGGGCTTAAAAATAGATCTTAGAATAAATGAGGASCATAATCAGTTCTACGTGTTTAAGATTCTATGTTTAAGATTCGGGTATATATCTTGTCTGTTATATGTTCCAAAATCAAGTTGTTACACACACCTGGATGATCAATAGCATTGATACATATGGCTTCTCTCCGTACGGCCTCGACTGTAGAATGTTCAAAAAATTTTACTGCAACAGCTTGTCCCCGAAACTTCATTTTCTTGCAATAACAAAATCTTCCCTTGCCGAGAACTTGATTGTCGCTATTGGAAATCCTTGTAAAATTTTCTCTTTTTATCTGATGTAGCTGTCTGTGGGGCAATGACAAAAATAAAATTACTTAAGAGGTTGTATGAAACCCTTATGCCTCTTTGTGTATAGATAAAAAAATATATAGTTGCCTCACCTATACATGCATTACGAAGACATAAGTCACAAGTTACTTACGGAGAGTCTTGATTGAGGCTGAATTCTTTCATTTCCCGCCATTTTTTCCAAAAGTACACGGCTCGTTTCCTTTGCTTTTTAGCATAAAGTCTTTGCTTTTCCAGCTCCCTTCTAAACAAATCGCTTTCAATTTGGGCTTTCTGTGCAGCCAGTTTATCAGCAGTTTCAGCCTTCTTTCCATGCGAAAGCCTTCTTTCACGCTGACGTTTACGTCGTCGTCTTTGTTGCTGCATCAATCGAGTTTCATCYTTGGTGTTTGGTCTTGAAATTCGTCTTAGTTTCGCTGGCAAAGATYGCTGTTTCTCGCTTTCTTGTTGCATCCCACTGCAGATAAGTGTGCCACTCATCATGTGGTTTTGACTAAAATGCGCCATTTCAGCCAATAATGCAGCAAAGAAAGAGAACAGAACAATCTAAACCATCGCTGTCGCATAATTACTCTGCTGTGGTCGCGGGAAAAATCAATRCTGTAAAATGATACTGGAAGTCACTTGAAAATAGTTCGCCATTTACCGTACCCCTATAAGTAACAAGTTGTCACTTCGGAAGTGTCATTTTCAAAAGATTCAAGGAATTTGAACACGAAGGCCTAAACTTGAATATTTTATTTGGGCTTTT